ACGAGTTTACGTTTCTTTTATATGTTTAATTAGAGACAAACCGTCAAGGTAGATATATATATATATATAATATAAATATATAATATTTATATTAAGTGTAAGCGAACGTACTTTTAGACGTATGTTTCACGGTGATATCATCGTAATTAACACCATACTTGTATTTGCATCGCAGATAACAAAGCCACGTGCGGGTAAAATTGAATATATTACTCGCGAGAGTGTAAGCGTTATTAAAAGCACAGAAGATTATATCGTACACCGCGTTTTCATCGACATATCACGCGTCACGTCTTCAAGTTTCGCCGCCATACCATGGGCGTATGGTCTTAATTAGCGTATATATTTATATCAGATAAACGAGATAAAAATCTACGCGCAATTAAATGCTTGAAAATTTGACACTATTCGCGCGAGTATACTTAACGGCGATGACTGAAGACTTCGCACGTAATTAACAAAATTAGCATACATAGTTACATCGAGAATGATGAATAATAAAAGAAGTGTGGAAGGAAATGTATAAATAAATCGAGTTTGAGCAGAAATACTGTAAACAAAAGCAGATGAGAATCTGACGCGGCGCGACGCAGCGAACCATGGAAGAAAAAGAAGACAGGCCGAGGCAGGAGGACGGCCGACCCTCGTAAAATTATCGTACTTTAATAAAACGTGTCGTGCAAAACGCGAGGATAACGAGAAAATATAGGGTTCGAAAGACTTGTGAAATTTATAGAGCGATCGTCGCGCCGGCGCGCCGGAGGAAGAATCGCTTTTTGGAGTCGCGCCGTTTGGTCGACTCGTCTCGAGTTGGCCCCTTCTCGGCTATGCAGCCACAATAAGATCTCGAATAAATCAGATGTTCGTGTCTCGAGCGGACACGGTAGCTCAGCGGATAAAGATTCGTCGCAGTAAAAGAGCCTTTAGTAATTCCGTGGGGAAAATCGCGCGGTAAAAAGTTGGGGAAGTTTGAATACGGCAACAGGTGTCCCATAGAAGTTGCGTTTCGATCCAAGTTCCAAGAAAATCGCGCATCCAAAAAATGAAAAAAAATCACGTTTGATAGACATATGAATGCCTTGATAGACAAAAGATGACCCTACATGGTCAATAATATGCATACTAATCAGTAATATTGAATTAATAATATTGACAGCATGCATCAAATATTTAGTATTTTTATCTTATTTTAATCTTACACGATCGGTATTATTGTTGACAATATTGACAGTATTATTGACAATATATTTCACTTTAATTTTATATATATTATCTATTGCACTGTAACATACTGACAATGAGACATGGGTCCTAATAAAGCGATGATCGAGAATCAAAATCCAGACACTGTCAGTATTCTAGTCAATCCATCAATATTAACCACACACGATCAGTAATATTGTCAGAATTTGTTAATGCTGACAATATTATTGACCGTTTCACCTAAAAGCTTTTATTATAGATCGATAACTTTATTTCCGATATTATCAATGTATATCAGTTATGTATCAATTTTGTTAAAAATAAATGTTCAGGTGTCCCAGAATTACCGTGACAATCGTTAATGGCAGATTCCTGAGATCCTTTCGAGACAAATAATTCTAATAGCAAAATGTCGAGAATGTATATTAGTTTTGGAATGAGAAGGATTTAAGGTTAACCAATCGAACTGTCCAATATTTGTGCGCTCAGGCACGACACATTGCACAGTAGCAAAGATGTTTAGAAGAATAGAAGAGAATAGAATTGATGCTTGAAACCACCTTCATTACTATGTGCTATGCTTGAGCACACAAATTCTGAACACATCAATTAAATTTAAAACCTTCCCTCATTTATAAATTACTGCAGTCTCAATATTTTGATATTAGAATTTTTTACTCGAAACAATCTCAGGAATCTGTCATCAATGGTCGTCATGGACACCCTGTATGCCAAATGGTATGACATTTCATGCGTCACCCTGTACTATAAAACAGATATCACGTTGATAAATATTTAATTAAATTCTTTCCCGATTATAGTCTGCATTGGTCGGTATACGTCTGAATAATCCGTGAATAATCAATGAACGTTAGCTTCGACTGCAGCACAGAAAACCATGCATGGTATATGTTCGATTGAAATCGCATGTACAATAATAGTACACAAGCAATTTGCTGTGATTGAAAACAAGTTAAAACATTTTTTTTATCGATTTGCCTTTAACACAATTTTCCAGACGAGACGAATGCGAACTCAGTCATTTTCTCGCGTGTATTGCGTCTCGTGCTGTTCACAAGCAGCGGAGTCCGTTTTCGGCACAAAGCAAAATCTCGTACTTCAAACAGCGGCTAATTCAGCAAATTAAGATAGCATGACAAGGAAGGTGGCGAGCGAGCGAAAGAGAAAGAAGCAGCGTAGAGCACCAGTTTAGTAGCAAGTGCTGTAAATTCTCGATTCTTTAATCTCGGTAAACCTTCAGCGTTCCTATCGTTCCCCGACCGTCCCTCAAAGACCTGACCCGCAGTGTCTAGCGAAAGATCGCGGTGCTCCTCGAGGGCGTCTTGCGCACACACACACATACACACGTCTACACGCACGGCGCGTCGGGGGAGCCTCTGAGCAGTAAATCTCGCGGACAAACAATCATAATTTTCGAAGAGCTAACAAAAAGCAAGAGACTCTTTAAAGGGAGCCGATGCCAGGCAACATGAAATGCGGCCGCCTCCGCTTCTCCAATTGTTTCGTGGTTTTCTTCCCCTTCCTCTCGAGTTCTCTCTCCGTTCACGTTTCTTCGTTCAACCGAACCTTCTTTTCCTTCCCGATCTCTCTCTTTCTACCTTTCCTGTACCTTACAACGTATATCACCGTATATCGATTCCCCGGTTGTCCTCTGTCCTCTCTTCTTTCTCCTCATCCTCTTTCTCCCTTTCTTCTTCTTCTTCTTTCCGATTCCTATTCCACCTTTCCTGATTTCTTCATTTCTTCCTTGTGGCATCCTCCTCCCTTCGTTACGTCTGCCACATCTTCTCTGTTTCTTTGTCTCGTTTTTGTGCGCCTCCCTCTTGATTATTCGATCGATGCACACGATTCTCTCACCGTATTATCTCGCGTTTCCTTGCTCTTTAATCTTGATTTATGGATTTCTTACGGATTTTTTTCTTAAAAATTTTTGTTTTTTGTATAATATGTGTATATATTCACTCTTTTGTTCTTAAGACGTCTCATATTTTTCAAATGTTATTGAGTTTAATAATTAATCAAAATAAAAATTAAAAAAATCTTTGCCGCAAAGCGATTACAAAGCAGAGCACACAATATTACGTGTTTGATTAGCGTTCACATATAGCAAGATAATAACATTAATCATACCGTAAATAAGAGTACTATGGTAGAGTGTACTTACAATCAAATGAATTTATTATATTTTTATTGTAACAACTAGATTGCAACCATCCATGAAGCATTTATGTAACAGCGTAAGACAACGATGAAAATGAGATAATGTATATATGTAGAATGGGTAGAGAAATGGCGATAATTTCTGCGAAAGAAAAAAACGAAAATGGGGGAGGAAAGAAGTGACATAATCTCGCTCGAGAACTTTCCTGTCGGGAGATCGAGGTCGAATTCCGACAGGAAGGTCGACGTTTGACGGGATGATAATTTTCGAGTTGTGGCCGTGTTATCCGACTATATACGATTTAATGTCGTCGCGTAAAGTATACAAGTTAGCGAAAAGAATTTTGCTGAAGTATTAAAAAATTTAGGTAGACACAAATTTGAAAATAATTTTGTCAGAGTAGTAATTATGTTAAAGTTATAACGTTAAAAACATTCAAGTATAATGAGCAATGCTGCAAAAAGTTGTGACATTCTAGCAACTAGCTTGAGCGTCTTACATAATATTTTGATGATCTAACAAAATTATTTTCAGATGTGTATTTAGTTAAAGTTTTAGATACTTAAGCAAAAATTTTTCCATGTATAATATTGCAGGAGAAAAAATTGAAAACCCCAAATTATAATACGAAATATAATTAGAGGGAAACGGATCAATATTTAGGTAGTTTGTCGTACAGTACTCTCTAAAACTTTTAAAATAAATCTCATTCTTTTTCAAGATTAGTTCAATTTTCATTCTTTAGAGTGAGATTCTAAAGAATTTAGAAAGTAATATTTTTTGCCTAATCGATCTACTTTTAAACAGGCACGCTCCGGCGAGTTTTCCAAACGGATTTTTGTGTAGTAAACCCCACGAAATCAGGAACAATTCTACGAGCTAATTTCGTTCTCTCGAGACACACTTCGGAGCGCGGAAAGTTCGCGGAGCTCAATCGGGGACAAGGAAGCTGCCAACTTTTTTACATCTTGTCGCGCAACCCATCATTGCTTTGTGTGGCAATTTAAGTACATTATCGCTAACCTTGTTTCGGTCAAGAAAAGTTTATGGATGACGCTTATTGGCTATAAGCGATATAAATAAATGGCAGGAATGCGGAAAATAGTGAGAAGATTTGCGAAATGTTCACGCTATAAATACAATTTCGTTCATTTGTTTCAAGTGGAATAAGACGATGCGAAATCGGTTGACAACTGTAGCTAATACACGTACATGCATACAGCTTCGCAAGAGATAAACTGCTGATTCGTTAAAACTTTATATAGTAATTGAACATATGTTATGATAATAATTTTGTGCGCAGATTGTTTTAAAAAACATAAAAGAATTTAAAAAATATCAATTATTATCCAAAAGATTTATTAAAAAGAAATGAAATAGAAGATAATACACTGATTCAGAAGATAAAGAAATTAATTGCACGTCTCATCTTTTTAGAATAATTTTATACGAAAATGACGTGTTTCTATCAAAATACCGAATTGCCTTCTTTTACTCTATACAAAATTATCTCGGAACTTCACACATCAGAATTTCCTAGCAGTTTTTCCTACTCCTAGAATTAACGGCTTATGTAGTAAGACGGTCGTTTGTAAGAACCGGAAGCAAACTTTACCTCTTGCTGTCTAACTGATATCTCCGTTCCTGCCGCGAATCACTCCCGTCAACATCACCATAGTTCTGACGTGCGTTTCGGCTATTATCCACACTAATTCACCTCCGACTATTCGGCTCCAGTCCGCTCACTTAGAAAACGTGACAATTCAATGTCGCTCGCGCACCAAATTCGCAGAATCTCTGCGATCACTCACACCGAACGATCCAGATTCGAGTCTTCGGAATTATCGCCGACCAATCCTTGTCACGAGGCTTTCAGAAACTTCGTCAGGGAGTCCCAATTCGCGAGGAATATGAAGCACGCGTCAGCTTCTTCCTCTTCGAAATCTCCCACTGAGATCACTTCTACCCTCATCGAACACTTTCCGTGCCACCTTCAATGCCGTCACTTGAAATCCTCGAATTCTGGAAAGCATTCAAACAACGATCATTCAACATTCTCGATTGACTCTTCATAATCTTGTCAACCCGAACGATTAGCAATTCTCCCGACCAGCCACCAATGATTTTTGTCCTGACGATTAAATTTCATGGTGCACAATTTTAGATTTAATTTCTTGACTGGAGCTTATCACAAACTTGGATTAGAATGCCTATTTCATCATGACGTAAAGGGAAAATTATTGGAACTCAAAAAGTAACAGTTTTGTAGTAACGGCACTGCGTAGATTTAATCAAGGTCCCCTATTAAATATGCACCAGAGACAAGTACGTCGTTTCCTTGTTGGCAGCGTTATCACGATACTTCAAAACTGTCGTTCCGACGAATCCTCGTTGTTTCGAGACGACACGCGCGGGTTCTCCACCCGTGAAACTCGGTACCCGTGTGTCTTCGATTCTCGAGGTTGTCTAAGCACCCGCGACGAAGAGGGAGGCACGCGCTTGTGAGCGCGCGCGCGCGTTCGATCGAGAGGGGGAAGAAGTGGGGGTGGTCTTTCGAACTCCACGTCTGAAGAGGGCGGTTCGTTTCGCGTCTTCTTCAAGCTCGCGGAAATTCGGTCTGCCACGCGCTTTTACCACCACCCTCAGCGGCAAACAAGGGTCGCCACCCTCGCAATGATAACGACTGTTTCGTCACCTCCAGAATCTTAGGGTGGTTCTCCAGCGAGCCCAGAAATATCAGACAGGAGAGTGCGCGTGGCTCGACTGGCGCGAGATGACTGAACCCCTCCAAAGGGTGAGAGACAGAGACGGCGGAGAGGGGAGGAACAGGGGGAAAGAGAGGGAATACACTGTTCTTCCCTTGGCCCCTCTTTCACCGACAGAGAAAGACCGCGGACTTCGAAGGCCCCCACCAATCTACCATCCATAGGTTGCCCCACCCCGTCGAGAGCAGTGACGCGTCGCATTCTCCCCGCCTTCGCCCGACGTTCCGCCGCCTCCCACCCCCGACGGTGCACGTCGCTGCCTCTTTCCCGTCGGCCCCCGACGTCGTCGCGGTACCACCACACGGCTACGATGATGATGACGGGGGCAAAGAGACGGAGTTCTGCCACCGCCGAGCAACTCCTTCCTCTTCTTCCGCTCCTTGGCCGCTGTCGCACGCATTCGTCCACCGGCTGGCGAACCGCACGCACCTCTCTGCACGTTGCCGCTGAGATGCCTCTGCACGCGCGAGTGACTGGGTGGTCTCGTGGGGGTAGTTTCGCGAAAAATGTTAACCCTATCATCAACGACTAGTTAACAAAATTATCTCGGAATAGTAAGTAAATTATTTTCATTGTCATGAAAAGAATTGTGTATGGCATGACGATGTGAATTTTTATTATACGTATAATTCTTTAAAAAAATTCTAAATTAACTTTCAGTAATGAAAGGTTTAACTCAACGTTTCCTAATTTTTGTCCGATGTAATTGATTATAAAACAAATTTACTTTGACGATACGTCCTATAATTCAATTGTAAATATTTTTTATACGTTTCGCGCTACACGTATAACGAAATCATAATCTTCAAAATTATGGTTTCGTTATATGATATGACGAAAAGCTCGTGATACAGGAATTAGAGTCAAAACTGCTATGTAACTCAATACATCATTACGCGCGGTTCGCGTACAGCAAAGGACGAGTAAAATTTCAAAGTGCATTAATTCTCCACCCTTGTGTAGAATCACCCCGGTACGGGAAAGTTCCACCGACCAATGACGTCATTCGAGTGCCCTCGAAAGACACTCCCACTTTCTACCCCCGTAAAGGTTTCTACAATGCTGTCGATGCTTATCGCCGATGCGTTACGTAGGGGTGACGATTATTCGGGGTTTCTATGGATGTCGCTAATTGAGAGAAAACGAGGGATGCGTCGCAGAAATTGAATGAGATCAAAAGATATCAGAGTAAACCACGATAATTAGTTTTCTAAAATAAAACTTTAAAAGCTTGAATCTCCAAACTTTTAAGATAAACTTTTTAATATCCTTTACAGCAAAGCAATTATGTTATATTATGGATAATAGTATATTTTCAATATTGTATTACCTACTATGACATTAATTCGTTAAATGAAGAAAGTTGTTTCATTTACTAAATCTTTCAGACGGTGAAAAGGTATTAGAAAAAAATTTATTTTTACAAATTTTCTTCATATATATATATATATATACATACTTGCTATCATTCCCGTTACGTTTTTGATACGTCGCGACATTAATATCCCTTCCAACTTTTAGATTGACATTTCCGAGCTATTTACATCGTGCGGGTAGCTTGTAACGGGGATTAAGAATGATTAAAGCTGAAAAGAGTCATGAACGAAAATGGGCCTGATTCACGTGATTATACCAATCCGCCGTGTGAACGTTCTTCTGCCTTTTGATTTCTTAACGCACTCATTTATCACAATTATCGCTCTGTTCGTATTTATATTCTTGTATTTCTCTTATGTGATCATTACTAGTATTGCTCATTTCATCATTTTATGAAAATTCTATGCAGGTTACTCTCATTAGTGAAGTACATTATTTTACTTTTCTACTTATAAAATAAAACTCTATAATTTAAAAAATTCTATAATTTTTTGTTATCAGTAACTTTATCATCGTATTATTAATAATACAATGTCAATATCATATTGTTTGTACTTTTCGTTAGAAGTAAAAAATTTAATTATTAAAAATATTTACAAAAATACTATTATACGCAAGATTCAAAATGAAGTAATTATACATAAAACTATTATTTTTATTTTTTACTCTCGATGAGGCAAATCGAAATCATGAAACAGGGAGTTCGGTTAACCCTTTCCCGTATTACGAAACGACCCTATTTGGGTCTTGCAACAACTAGTTGATGATCAGGTAGTCGATTTTCGGAAAAATAGAATGTGGGAAAAATGTCGCGGCGTCCCGTTAGGTCTCGAAAGGGTTGAAGTGGAACCCTTCGAAAATGGGTCAGACTGCTGACGCGTTCTCTCGCTGGCTCTCTTTCTCCCTCGGCGTTTTCTTAAAGGGTCTTAATCCACCAATAATAAAATATCGTGTTTCCCCAGGTACCGAAAATACTGCGGGACCGCGTGATTTTGCGTAATGTGCCAACGATTTAATTCGTTTCAGGACCTGCGTGCGGCTTCTGAAGGGGTTTCGATTTCCGTAAAAAGGGTTTTACCGTTCCGAGGATCGTGTGAGAAAACTATTAGCGCAAAGAAACCCTTAAATAACGGAAGACGGCACCGACCGCCTAGGGATGAATGGAAAAGCTATTTTCGATTTCAGGTATAATCAACATCCATCTCCATTTGCTTCGTATTATTGCTCAAATAAATAAAATATACAGATAAAACATGTAGTATTTTATAATTTTAAGTTTTGCCAGAAAAATGAATAGTAATTAATTAAGAAATGTATTACGTAAAAAAATACATTTCAATTGTAACATTCTAAATTATATCGAAATTTTAAAATGTGGGTAAGTAATAATAATTATAGACAAGTTAAAATATATAAACAAATATATCAAACCTACATTTTAACAGTAGATGCATAATGACCCAGTTTATCTTTCAATAGTAATTTAGACTTACAATTATCCTTTACTTAGTTCCGAGACTTTGGTTGTAGTTGATCGCATGTTAAATATAGTAATCATATAATACTAAAAATCTATTGTTCTTCTTTCTCTTTTAGTAATGATAAAAATGAATGTATTACTAGTCATTTCAAATATAAATAATTACAAAGTTATGTGAAAAAATAGGTCTCCCAATGTGTAAATTAATTTTAATCTCGGTCCAACGTATATTTTACATCTTTTTCTAATTCTTAGGATATCGGTCGTAAGTCTGAAAATCCATAAATCAAAATAGTCGTAGGTAGAGGAATACTTACATATAAAAATTATATTAATTATTTCCTCTGTTTTGGCACTTGATGATTGGTGAGGGAAGGATTTACGGAAACCTGAAGAATCCGACAAGACAAAGTTGAATGCTCTCTCGGAGCACTCCCCAAAGTTTAAAAATACCGCTCAGTCTCAGCCCTTCCAGTGAAAATATGAATTTTTTATCTCTCCCTCGCGGGCCATATGGTTGATGCGCGTCTCCCGAGGGTAGGAAGACAAAAAAAAGAGTCGGGGAGTAGGGAATAGTGCGATCAAAAAAACCCGGAGAAACTCCATAAGACGAATATTTTTAGAGTCGAATTTCCAAGGTAGTTTCCGTGGTTTCGTGCGAGGGACAGGAAAGGGAAAAGGGTTGTCGTTCTTTTTTACCGTGTACTCTGCCGTATCCTTTCCGCGTCTACATTCTTCTTCTCACCGTTCCCTCCTTACCTACCCCTTCTCATTTTCAGGATTCCTAGATAAACCAGATGTCATCTTGACAAATCTTTCTCAGCAGACTGCTTTCTATCATTAATTTATTATATCTATAAAGAATCGAGGCGATTAAAAGTCTAAGGGTACAATGCACTTTAACGAAAGCGAGGCGACGATTAAAATCTAAACTACAGAAGTATCGGAATGTTCATAACTCATTTTTCTAAATGCAACAGACTTTCTCATGAGGACTGGGTAAAATGAATATTAAAAGTGTATTTTGAACGGTGCGTGGAATATTGTGTAAATCAGACGGAACGTCGCGACTAAACGTCGCGAGTATGGCGCGTCTGGGATGCGTTTTGCAATGGTACGCGTGTCGTCGGCGTATCTACGAGCGTTATACTCCGAGCAATGCATCGAGCAGCGGCGTTCGTACTCGTCCGACATGGAATGTGGTCCGGTTCTCGAGAGTGTGCGCGAGCGGCAGAGAGCACTGCGCTATAGTTCCCGTTTTTTATCGCTTCGTAATGCATTAGCCATAATAGCTGCACGCACTTAATGGACTGTAGCCTCGTTACAGTGCGCCACGTCGTGGGTGGATACGCTGCTCGTCTTCGTGCCTCAGCCGCGCTCGCTCCACTGGCGCGTTGTCTCGCTCGCATTGTCAATCTCCGCAGGCGCATCTACTCGCCAATGACTCGTCCGCT